TCTGAGAGGAAAAATACAGTTGATGTGAAAAAACTGTATGTTGGGCCTGAAGGAGTGGCAGCTCTGATTGACCTGCCAGGTGACCTTCAAAACTTGTACATGTTGTCTGAAAATTCCGCTCCTCACATCACTTTGTTAGTGAGAGATGGAGCTGATGCAAAAAATCTGGGCCCTATGGTTCACAGCTGTTTAAACGCTACTGACTGGATGTGCACACAGAATAGACAGTTGCAGTTCTCCCATTCAACACAATGCTATGCTATTGAGCACGGTTCTCAGCTCACACTAACACTGGAAAAGTGTTTGCTGCACAGAAGTTGTAACAAAGAAAACATTGATCATTCATGGACTTTTGGAAGCTGGAGTTCTAACTCCCACTCAATCTTCCTGGAACACACCCCTAAATCCAGCTCCAAAGGCAGGAAAACCTGATTACAGGATGGTTCATGATCTCAGAGCTGTAAATAAACTTGTGGTTCCAACGAATTATGCCAGCCAAATCCATACACCATGTTGAATGCAATAAGCTCTGAACACAAGTTTTTCACATGCATTGACCTTGCAAATGCCTTCTTCTCTGTGCCCCCCCACAGAGACTCACAGAACATGTTTGCTTTCATGTACAAAGGGCAACAATTTACCTACAGAAGGTTACCTATGGGCTTTATTGACAGTCCATCCATCTTTAATCACATTCTGCGGCAAAACTTGAAAAATCTTTCTCTCCCAGCTGGAGTCTGTCTCCTTCAGTATGTGGATGACCTGTTGTTAGCTGCTCCTGACACAGAAAGCATAATGATTGCTACAGACACATTGTTGACACATTTGGCACAGGGAGGCTTCAAGGTCTCCAAGGACAAGCTGCAGATGGGAAGGCCTAGAGTTGCTTTTTTAGGCCGTGTGGTGTCAGCATCAGGCCTACACATAGCTGAGACACAAAAGACAGACATCCTCTGTCATTCTAAGCCCACCGCAGTCAGAGCAATGATGAAGTTTTTGGACTGATTAATTTCAGTAAGAATTTTGTACCTGACTTTGCCAACTTGGTGGCACCCCTCCGTGCCATGCTGACAGAAGCGGGTTACAAGAACTATGGTTCTGCTCTGATGTGGACCACACAAGCAGAAAAGGCTTTTGTGGACATCAAACAAGCTTTGTCACACACATGCAGTTTACATGCACCTGACTACTCTCAAGCTTTCCACCTGGATGTGGATGAAAAGGATGGCATTGTAAATGCAGTCC